AATTAATGAAATTATAATAATGAAAATAACATTCTCGAAACTAGACTCAAACGAAACTAACAGCCGATATTGTATAGTCGGTGGAAGAGATGTAGCGAGCTCGCAAATTGAAGCATTGAACTGTACAGTATTAACGTTAGTCTGGTGAATTTTTAATATTTTAAAAATTAGAGATTAGAAATTTTTATTTTCTCTTTGCATTGCTTCGAAGTCTCGAACCGTTAAAATTGGTAGAAATTAATCTGGAGCTGTTGAGAATTAAGGCCGAAATTTGAAATCAAATTAAAAAGCAAATTTTTTTAAATATACTGCAACGGAGGATCCCTGAATTGATATTAAACATTTCTGAAAGAGGTTTAAAAATCTCTGCGAAACTGCTGTTTCAACACGCTCGAATTACCTGTACTTTGACCGATAGTACGGATCTCGCTGTATCGCTTCCACCGACTATACGTTCTACGGCTTTTCAAAGACACACGCGCGATACACACGCAGCAGCTTCATTTTATAAAACAGTTTATACGTGTGTGTCTCATAGCCGTTGCACTACGTATGTGTGCAATAACAAAGCTGCAGCTAAATAGAGAGTGTACTGAGAGGAGAATAGTAGAGGAAAAATGCGAACGAACGAATTTAGAGAGTGTGCTAATAGCCGAACTGCTTTTTATTTTGAAACTTCGTGGTTAGAATATAGAACGAGGTTAATGAACGAATAATAAAATGACGGGAATACAAGCACGGCCTGAAAGCAGCGTATGGCAAAAAGATTAACGACTCGACTAACGCTAAACGAGGCTGAAAACGAAATAATACACGAACGTGATATACGGGATAACCGACAACTAACAGCTTGCGATTATATTTCATAGTCTTCGACGCCGCGCGCCTTTTTCTGCCCGCTCTTTTATTTTCCATGTTTGTTGATTCTTATTGAACGAAGAAACTTCGTCTCGCGTGCTTTACGCGCGGATAACTCGTTGGTCTGTCTATAAAAAATTTTGCCACGATTTGATTTTTCTTATTATTCGATCTGCTATTAGGCCTTGACAAAGCTAACTGACTGATGGCGATGCGTGACACGCGACCTCTGTTGCATGCGAATGCTGGTGATTGTGGAGCTAACTTCAGTGAATTCGTTGTTTCAAACGTTTCTGGATACTCGTAAAAGTCTATCGTGAAGTTTTCTAGTGATTCGATTGATATTTGGTATTTAGATTTCACTCTGATTGAAGTGTGATTAAAGTTGAAATAATTGACTAGAGAAACTTCGTTTTTCTATTGACAGCAAAAATTCGAGTCACGAAAAAAGTAAATTTGTAGGTTATTAACCTAAAATATTGCGACATTGGATGTAGTCTTCAAGTTACATAATTTTTTAAATTATAACTTAGAAACGAAAAATTGACTTGATATTCTTGCGGTATATTATTCTGTTCATTAAAAAGTTTCGATATTATCTCAATTTCGCGAAAGTGAACGAAACGATTAGTCGCAGAATCAGCTACACAATGAAACCAACACTCACGGATACTAATAGAAACTGGTGTAGCTTCACTGTGTTCGCTGGACTCGTCAAATTTCACGGTTACGATCGAGTTGCCTGATGCATGTGCACCGAATCTTCTTGCATGTTCGAAGCTCGATTTGTTTTTTTTTTTTGGAAGAAAAATGCACCGTGAAACTTGACGGTTAAGAAAACGCCGATATATGTGTATGCGTGTCTTGCGCTTTGTGTGGCATGCCTCAGTGTGAAGAACCGATCGTTACCGCCTGCGTTCCCAGTCGGTAAGTAATCCGCATTCTAATCCTAGGTAAATACGGCTTCCGTATTAACATCACCTTAGGCTGTTAGAGGCGAACTTAGATGATTAGTGGCATACACATAGAGAGCTTCGTCTGACTTTCAAAGATTGTCTAACGGATGTTTTTCGAACAGAGGAAGAAGTTCGAGAAAGCGTTTAGAAAGTAGCGATAGCTTTGACTATGGTATTTTGAATACTTAGAACCTCTGTTTTTTTTAACTAGCTTCCTTAAATACTTTAGAAATTATCACAAGCATCGAAGTAAAAAAAAGTCGGTTTTTTTTTTTTTTTAGAAAATTTCTTGTATTTTTGGAAATCCTTTTTAGTCTCTATTCTTTTTACTTTTTTTTATTGATAAGAATTCCTTGAAAGTCAGAACTTCATTGCAAAACCAGTGATCGTAGACCAGTAACAATTGTCTAATGGGATTTCGTGTGCTCTAGGCTTATTTCGATGGCGTACGGTCAAATCGGTATGATCCAGGCAGCCGCCGGTTTCTTCGTCTACTTCGTGATTATGGCTGAGAACGGATTCTTGCCGCTGCATCTTTTCGGTATCCGAAAACAGTGGGACTCCAAGGCTATCAACGATCTTCGCGACAGCTACGGCCAGGAATGGGTAAATTGATATTGTTTGATAATTTTTAGGTTATTTTCGAGCATCCGGTGAAACAGATACCCACGTTGATATAAAATTTCAAAATAAATTCTAAAAAGGCTTTAACGTATTTCACTGATTTTTATTTCTTTGTTTTTTTTTATAGACGTACAGAGATCGTAAGACACTGGAATTCACCTGCCACACGGCCTTCTTCGTCTCGATCGTTATCGTACAATGGGCCGACTTGATCGTTTGTAAGACGCGACGTAACTCCATCATTCACCAGGGAATGAGAAACTGGGCCCTGAACTTTGGTCTTGTGTTCGAGACTGCCCTCGCCGCGTTCCTAAGCTACACACCCGGCATGGACAAGGGTCTCCGCATGTTCCCTCTCAAGTAAGCCATTTTTTTCCTCCCTTCTACACTTTAATCCCTGTTTACATATGCGTAGGATACTTGAAGAAGCCATTTTGAGTCATAAATTCTTTCCAATAAAGCAGAAAGCGCTTCGAAGAATAGAGAAACCTTTTTTAAGTATCTTAAACGTATTCGAAAGGTTTAAGGCTTGTTTCCATCGTAACAGTTACCTTAATGCTTTTGGGACGCATATGTTCCACTTGAGTACTCGAACAAAAATTGATCTAAATTTAGCCAAACGAAAGGGTTAAACTGTAAAACTTGCGGAGTATTGAGAGGACATATTCGAACGATAAATGACACAATTATCGTGAATTACAGATTCGTCTGGTGGTTGCCCGCCATTCCCTTCATGTTCGCCATCTTCATCTACGACGAGACGAGACGATTCTACCTCCGCCGGAATCCAGGAGGCTGGCTCGAGCAAGAAACTTACTATTAGACGCGAGGGGAGAATTTAATCATACACGCAGAGCGCGCGCGCAAGAGTTACAAGAGAGCGAGAGATGCAGAGAGAATGATGAGAGCAAGAGAGAGAGTGAGATATGCATATTACCCACGCAGATATACACCGAGAAACTAATAATAACGTAAAAAAACGAAATACAACCAAAACAACAAAAAAAAAAAGAAGATAACGATGAACAGACAAACGATGAAAAAAAATATATATTGCGTTAAAAAATCACTCACGTTAAATACACACACATATTTTACCATGGGGCGTGCTATTCGGGTCTAACCGTACTGTCGCGAAATCACGAGATTTATTAGTAGAAATGGGGACAGACAATTCGCATCAGCCGAGCCGAATCGTCGAACGACCATCGAAACACAAGACGGGAGTGTCTTGCAATTATTCCAAGATGGAAAACGAAAGCTTAAGCTTCGCGTGGGAGGGAAAAGAGACTTGCGAACACTCTCGTTGCACGGTGTGTGAAGTACAAAAAAAAGAACAAATACGAAAAATAACAAAAAGATGAAAAAAGAACAAAAAAAAAAATGATGAAGAAGGAAAAGAAGAAAAGAGAGATACGTTCGTCGTTCTGGCTCTGCGAGTTGCTTGCACGCGCGTGCCGGTGTATCATTAATTTAAAAAAAAAAAAAAAACAAGATCGTCGTTCGTGAAACATCGAAAGGATCGACGAGGTAACAAAGAGTTCTACGAGCAACGTCGTCGGGAAGACATCGAGCTTCCGGGTACACACATGCCTGATACGATTCACGAGGGTTATAGGGGTTAGTGCTGCCATTTGTTCATTCGATAAAAATATGACAGAATGAGATAGAGAAAAAATGAGTAAAGAATTACACAGTAGGGCCTAACACACGAGCATAAGAAGCAAAAATGGCGTAATACGGAAGGAATGATTAACGAAGAGAGAGAGACTGGTTAAAGGGGAAGTTGAAGGAAGCTGTCAGAGGACACCCGTGTATCTTTTTGAAATCCGATGGATACAGGAAGAAATGACGACAGATCGACGGATAACGCGCACGTCCGTATGAACGTCGACGGGTGTTAACGACACATGGACGAATCTTTTAGGAGATATATTAAGAGGAAAACTAAAACAAGTGATTAATTAGCATCGATGGAGCATTCCGTAGACGTCTTGTGATATCAGAGAAAAAAAATATTCATTTAGGCATCCCGTTAAGTAAGCGAGCAAAGATCACTGCGCTAGATTGGCACACCCTTGTTAAGAGTTTAAACGAAAAAAATAAAAATAAAAATAAAAATGCAACGTAGTTACAAGTTAAGAAAAAAAAAAAACGTTAAGGGCGGTATTATAAATGTTACACTGATGCAGAAGTTTAATGGAACGATGATGTGGATAAATATCATTCGCGGTCGACACACACGGAGGAAAATAAGAGAAGAACGTATTTACAGATAGACGTCTCGTGACACCAGCAGTCTTGAATTAGAACAATCTTCTTCATTGTTGAACTAAAAAGAAATAAGCAAAAAAAGCAAAAAAATAATACGAGAAAATCAGTACGCTAGATTGGCACGCCCTAGAAGTTACTCACGACGCGAGAGAGAGAGAGAGAGAGAGAGAGAGAGAGAGTGCGAGAGAAAAAGAGTGTGTGTGTGTATGCTGAAAAGAGCGCAAGAGAGTTAAAAATACCTTAAAGAAATCCAAAAACAAAAAACAGTAAAAAAAAAGATGACTAAGAATACAGAATTAATGAAAGCGCGTTCGCAGTACTCATTATTATTCTTATTACAAGTAATGTCGTTCGGTTCGAGTCTTTAAAATCCGAGTAGCTGTCGAGGCAAGAAATCGCATCGCGTAGATATTCCAGTAGTTTGCGAGTCTCTGCACGAGGATCGCTACGCGTGGGAAGAACGGGCCAGGAATGGATCAATTGTGAAGGCAAGAAGATTGATAAAGAGGGGCAAACAAAAATTCAGAAAAAGAAGAAAGATGTTGGACGAGCGGGGGCGAGCACGGGGAACGAAGGCGGCATACGGACAATGTAATATGTAATTATCAACCGAGGAATCACTACCAGCTGACGAGGATATATTAAACTGGATACATTAACGAGAAGAAACAGAGAAAACGAAGAGAAAAACGTGTGAGAACAGAGGAGATGTGTAACGTTGTTTAAATTGCGCGCGAGCATATTGTAAAGCGGTGGTCGTGGTTTCGGGAGCCGATGGACTGGACAACCGTGCGTGCCACGATCCACCGACTAGGGAACTGGACAAACGGGTTACGAAAAATGTTATTGATTAAACAGAGAGGAAAAAAAACGAGCTAAGTAGAGATACGAGAATTTAAAATAGCCGCGTTGCTCCACGGAGTCACGTGCTTTCCGGAGTGAGAGCGCTACGATAGTCGAGGTAACAGGATATTAAGAAAAAAAAAAACAATGCTAGTAGAGGATGGTAACGATGTAGGAAGAAGCACGAAGGTGTCGAAATGAGAAAAATAAAGCAGACACAGAGGAAAAAACAGTAAAAAAAAACATTCTTACTTAGGCGAAACTAAAAGTAAAGGAAAAAAAGGTATAAATTCATTCTCTTAGTTTTTTCATAGGTTTAAAAACGCCAGCGGGACAGCTCGCTATAAATCATAATTGACCCCCGAACGCAGAACGCCCTGTACCACCAACCCGCGGTCTGTCTTGTGTATGTGTGTGTCAGTGTCGAAACAACGCCCCTTCGAGTTTTTTTTTTAGGAGCAACAATACCGTTAAAAGAACAAAAGAAGGAAAACACACACAAAAAAAAATGAACAACAAACGATGAACGAAGGTGACTTAAAATGCCTGCCACGCGACTTTTCGGGCCGGGACGATCCGAGACGTGCGATCATGACAGGTCTTGTTTCGAGCTTCTTCGATGTGAAAAATGAAAAAAAAAAAAATAAAAAAACGCATACGAAAATCCGTTCTCGTTTCTCTTTGCCTAGAATTAGATATTTATTATTCTTGTTGCGCTCGCTTTCGCGGCTTCTCGGTGTGCACACGTGCGCGCGCTGACAATGTCGGTGAAGAGAGAGGGCGCTTCGTTTCGAGCGGAGGGGCGGAGCGTAGGTAATACGAGCTCGTTCACGATCATTGTTCGTCATCGTTTGACACCATCGCGACGATAACCGATAATCAACGAACAGCCTCGATGGGTTCACCCATGTTATCTGGTTCCTTTGTTCCGCACGAATCAAGGCGAACGGACCGTCGAGGAATGAATCAAGGTAGACGAAGGGTGACGCTCGCTCGGCGGCCCTGGCCCCAAAACTACCCTAAGTGTTCAATAATCGAGGTGTTCTCGAGGTGCCGTACACGCGTAACATGTTCTTCGCTCGCTAATCCTGTCGAATTTCGATTTATTCACAATTAAAATGAAAAGGAGAAAAAGATCCATCAGGGGTTGACTTTCCTCCAGCCCTTCCGATGAATTATCTCTGTTGTGTGCGCGAGGGGCTGGTCGAATCATTCGGCCCCGTTTGCAAACACGTGAAACCAACATTCGATCTTGAATTTGGAATTTCCATTTCGATTGTGAAATTCGGTGGGACCGGCGAAGCTTTATCGAATCGTTTTCGAGACACGTGGATCGCCATTTGAATCCAACTGTCAACGTCTTTAAGAGGAACGAGAGTGAAAGGAGAAGGATGGATAGAAAGAGTGGGAGAAACGGAAGGAGGGCAGCAGTGTACCGTCGCGTTGCTCGTTGAACTCGGACTTGGAAATAGACCCCGACGAAAAAGGTAAACATAAAAAATCGCATAAAAAAAAAGAAACGTCCCCGGTTTTCTTCTTCTCCGTGTGGAGGAAGAAAATGCTCGAAATCGTTAAACAAAATGAAAAAAAAAAAATCAATCGTCACAGTGCTAGGTGTTCAGATGTGGAAAGCTGTTTTCAATGTTAATGCCAGTTAATTCCGTTTCCATGGTGTTTCTTGGTTTTGCGTTGCGGGACAGTGTATATCGATAGCTCCGCGTGTGTGTTGTTAGAAAGATCGATCATTCCTGTCACAACGAAATCGAACAAACAAAGAAATGAAAAAAAAAAGGGAAAACAGATTGCCTTCGGCGGATCCCCGTGTTTCGAGGTAGGACGCGAACAAAAGAAGAGAAAAATAGAGTCAGAGAGGGAAAACAAAATACGGCGATAGAAGTGTGTCATAGAAAGGGGGAAGGGGGGAATGATGCATTGGCCCATTCGTTTCTGCAAAATCGCTCGTGACGTAGGTGCCGGGAACTGAGATCAGAGGATCCGTGGTTTGTCGACAGGGTGTTCCGTGCCCGGGGGGCGTTACAATAAGATATTATTAGATGTAATTATTATATATGGTTTAGTCTAGATCGTGTTGTTGAAGAAAAAAAAACAAAGTACGTATAAGCGAACAAAGATGAAGATATGAAGAGTATGGCAACGACGACGACGAGAGTAAAGGAGAGAGAGAGTGAGCGCATTAAGCGAGAGAGAAAGAGAGGGAGGGAGAAAGTAGAAAGTGACGGAAAAAGTGGCGTTGAAAAGAGAAAAAATTCGGTCTAAGACCACCAAAATATCTTGCGGCGGACTGAGCGGGACACAGACGAGAGAGAATCCGCTTTTTGCTTACTTCTGTGCGCGTGATACATCGGTATATTGATTTTTTTGGGGCAGCAACATTCGTTTTATAATCTTCGAAACACGACACTCGTCAAATTCAGCGGATTGCGCACCCATCGAATATAATCGCGTCACGCTTAGGGAAAAGAAAGAAAGAGAAAGAGGCATCGTTTAGTGATCCTTTTCGTGCGAGACCGCGTTTTTCCCTTTCCTCTGTTCTATTTCTTTTGTTGCGCTGCGTTTTCGGTTACGCGGATAGATTTGCGGCCATATTGCATATACCCCTGTTTCCATGGCAACGCCGTTGTTTTCTTTTCACTTCTACTATTTGCACCCGCGGGTTCCTAGGAAAAGAGGATCCTCGGCACACGAGTCGCAAATCTTTTCGTATTCTGCAAACAGGTAACCTCGATGAAACGTGAAAGGAATAACGCAATCGTCGTAAAACTGGTTTTTCGGGTGAATCGGCGTACAAGAGCGGGAGAAAAAGAAACGCGTGAATGTGGGCGAAAGAACGTGTGTTTTAATATAACGGATTCTTCGCTTTTTCGTTGCCGCGATCAAACATAACCCAATTGGCGATCGACAATTCGAATACGAAAGGAATAAAAAAAAAGAAAATAAAGGAAGCGAGAATAAAAGTAAAAGAAGAATCGGGAAAATAAAGTAACAAATGCGTATAAAATAAAAATAATAAAGAAGTGTCACGAGAATTCTGTGAAACGTCGCCCCTGCACAGCCCGCCACACTACGACAGAATCATTGAATGATTAAAATATAAACAAAAAAATGAATGATGTTTTATTAATATTGTACATATTTTAAATAATTGAAGACGGACAAAACAGATCGCGCGTGAAAGGAGACCCACGAAAAGGCGGCCCACTTGAAGAGGACCGCCTTTTTCGTACGGGTCCCCATGTACTCTTTTTCTGTTTTTCGTTTTAGCGCCGCATATATGATACACACTTCACACACATACACACCACACACGCCGAGAGACACGTGCGATGTAGAGAGAGATATACACATGTACACGAGATAAAAAAAAAGTGAAAAAAATGATGTACACCGCTCTACCAATACTATCTCTTCTGATTGACGATTCCTTTCATATTGATTATTCTGTAAGTTCTGTTTTCACACGTGAATTACATTAAGGAAGAAACGAGAGACATTGTCCAACCCAAGTGTCATTACTTTTGATGTTAAATAAAAAATACATAATTAATAAAGCACTCTTTATCCTACCTTCCTGACTGGTACTTCCGGTGCGCAAGCGTAAGAATAATTTTAGGGTACGACGCGTTTAGGTGAATGGAAAAGGAGAACTTAGCTTAACTGTCGTAGTATTTATTACGCTTATGTACACCTGTAATTATTCCAGCCATGTTTAATTCGTATAAATTTTAATTTCACGTACACCTGTGGTTGTTGTTCTTTTACTCGACTTCCGACGACGCGAATTTCTGTCTATCCTTATGTAGATTCTTCTTGCGCAATCGTTGTATATGCTTCTTTAGTCTACCCGAATTTTTCAATTCCTCATATTGAGAAACTAAGTCCAAAACTTTTTTCTCAGCTGCAAAGAGAAATTAAGTGTTTAATTTTAGAACATTTACATGCTCTTTATGATTACTTACATTTCTTTTTAAAGACGGGCTTCTCCCCACGCTTAATTGCTTCGATAATCTCCTTCTTTTCGTTACTTTTCTTTTCCCGTTGCCGCTTTCGTTTCTTCTCTTCGCGTATTTGATTTTCCAATCGTTGTATAAGGTACTTGATTTTCTGTATCGTTTTCGGGTCCTCAGTTACCTGTAACTGTTTCTTTAATTCTTCTAGATCATTTTCTTTCATTTTACTGAGGAATCCATAACTCTTCTTGAATTCTTTTTGATCAAATGTGCCACAAAGACTATCAAATCTAGGATCCCTTGGAATATTCTTCTTCACGTGCACAACTTCTCTAAAGCGGGTAACGGGCTTCTTTGCAGATATTTCTCGCGGCCTGTTCTTATTTTCTCGCTTAAAATCGATCTTCTTAACCTTTCGTGGACCGAACAACGTTTCTTTATACAATTTCATTCCCAATTTTTCTTTAAGTTTCTGCAAGTCCTCGAAACTCATTTCTCGAAGTTCCGATCTAATGTCATCCTAATATTTAATTGAAACTTTAATAAATTTTAACATGTGTAAATATAACCTACAAAATCTACATTTTTTGTGTTTTTAATCAAAAATATTAGAAAATTTATGTCTTGTAAAGTTCTACCTGTTCTTTGTCTTCGGCAAGAAGAACATCTTCTTCGTCACTCATGTTAAATAACGACATATGTATATAAACTGAACAACCTTCTTGCTCGATCCACGAAACATCCACATAACCGCCATATTTTATTTGGTGGTTAGTGTTTTACGTGCCATTGGTAGGTGACGCTACATTATCATATTAATCTGCTGATCTCTGTTTCGAGCAACATTACCAGTTGCAAAGAAATGATTTAAAAAGGGTAGCATTGTATTGTTTCTTAAAATAAAACATCATTTGTCTGATTGAATAACTTAAAACCATTATGTGTCATTAAACAACATTAGTATAATAAATTGAATATCTTGCAAACACATCTACACTTGACAGTTTGAAATTACAGAAATAAAATGTACCAAATTTCTGAAATTATGTTAACTATATAAATATATAAAAAAAGTATTAAAAGGAAAAGTTTTTATTCGATAAAGTAGTATTCTAAAGTGTACGCAGCAATCTATGTATACTAGATTGCCTATACGTGATCTCTCGTGTTCGACGGCAAGTTTATGCAGATTTCCTGGTGATTACGCAACATTATGAAATCCCTAATTTTACGTAACGCGTTATAGCAATGTATGCGTCATAATGTCGAGACTTATTGCTATACATATATAACGATAGGACCCTCAGAAGCTGCGTAAAAGGATAATTGTACTGCGTAAAAACCGTAAATCTGTATAGTGGCTCCCTCTGTTTAATTCATTACAAATCAAGTGTTTAAGGTTATCTGAGTCTTAAATCTAATAAACATCATTACTTCCTAATTGTATTGAAGTTTCGCTACAAATGCAAAGGAGAGCTACTTTAATGTTCACTACTACAATCCTACTATCAACTTAAATTCGGAAATACATACGTACCTTTTTCAAATCGCAATGCTTGTTACATTATGCAACGACGTTTACACATATGACTTATGCATTAAATAAAATATCCAGGATTGTCATCATGAAAAAAATATTCAATATTTAAAATATAAATTGTCAAGGAATATTGATTTTTTATATCACTATGAAAATTTGTAGGAATAATGTCCATTATATTGGAAAACTACAGTTAATGCGTACTAAAATAAAATGTTAAAGTATTTGTCATACAACTTCTTTATATTTCATGAATTACAAATTAATTTACTAAAATGACAGGTTTATAAATTCTAGCAAATTAAAATTGCGTTCTCGAGCGTAAATTCAACATTTGCTACAAGGGGGCAGCATCGTCACAAGTGTCTAAAATGGCGGGCGTGCTGTTCGAGGATATTTTCAACGTTAAAGACATCGATCCAGAGGGGAAGAAGTTCGACAGGGGTACGTCTGAAACGCACTTTACACTTTCATTTATTTATAGGCACTGTTGCGAAGAAATACGTTACGTTGTTGCCGAATTTTTAAGCGTTAAATGGAGAACGTTCCGTCGATGCTCGTCCCTTACGGAAGTTGCCGGGAAGCACATGGTGTGACAGTTTGATTTAAACACTAATTTTTGTACATAACTTCGTAAAAAAGTTACCTTGGTTAATTAACACAAGCACGAAGTCCACAATTAAACATTTGTCCATTGATGTAAGCACTGTGCAATTGTTTGGTACGTCCTAAATTACGCTAGTCATTCGTCAACAATCTTGTCTTCTGCGGTGGCGGGTTATTTGAAACATGATTCGAAAAAAGCATAGTTTTTATGAAATCATAGCAATGAATCGTGTTAAATTAATACCAAAATCCTCATTGAATAATATTTTTATCTACATACGACTATATTCGTCTAATATTCATTTTGATATTAGTAGAAATATATTTTTATTGACAAAATGAGGTCTTTTTTAAATTTTTGAATACTGTAAATTTTAATACAGTAATCAAGTCACATTAATATCACACTTCTATTTAATATGTTATAAAAATGCAATAGAATATGTCTGCCAGCGCGATTTTTTTTTTCTAGAAGGGGAGCATAAGGGTCGAGCACGTTTGACATTAATTTGAAAGGCAGCGCTTTGTGACAATGCATCTTCATTCTTCTTCTCACCTTGAACTCTGATACGAGATTTGTCACCGATGTTTCTTTCACCCTGTACACGCTTGTTGACGAATCTATTTGACGCATAAAAAGTACGACTTCGTAACGTGAAAAATTTCGTTGAAATCGTTAGAAATCGAACGACTTTATGTTAGTCATTATTCGACTTATCGCTACCTCTTATCGAATTGCTATTTGCCATTGCACAAATAACACATTTTATGCTCGTTCTAAATTTATTTAAAATTTAACAATTTTTTCTAAAATTATCGTGTTCCAAAATAAAGTTTTTAACGTTTATAGTAAACCAAGATAACAACTTAGATAATTTTGGAACGAAGGTTTTCGTATCTAGAAACGGAATGGAATCGTTCTTTAATTTCAGCTACATGAATTTCTTCTTTCGTATTATGCTTCTACTTTTGTTAGACTTCATTTATCGATACAGGAAGTTAGTGCATTGAAGGCCGTTTAAAAATTGATACACGTGCCAGAATAATGCGTCATTGATGCCATACGGCAAAGTATGCGTGCCAAATGTAAAATCAAGAAGGAAATTTTTCTTAGCATTGTACGATCATAAAAGATCAAACTTTGCAGTTTCATATTTCCATAAAATGAAACCGTCTAACAAACTTTTCAATTAACAGCTTTTCACAAAAAGCACATATTTAGCTAATCAAATTGTCGAAGACGTTTTTTCGAATTGTAAAACTACCTCGAAACGGACATAACCTTAACAGTTGCAAAAAAGAAAAATTCGAAAGATGTTTCCTTTTTATTGGATCACCCTGTATGAAAACACCCTTTGCATATAGCCCAATCACAAACCACGATAGGGACCTTACAATTACTAGTGAACAAAAAATTCGCATGCGAAAAAAATCTTTTCCCATCGTGATGTCGGATCGATGTATCCCAGACGGCGATGTAATTCACAGAAAAAGCGCGCCGCGTATCGCGCGTCACCCTATATTTTCACCTACATTATCGCTTGGGAAAGGGTTCCGCTGGAACAGCAGCGTTCCACGCGGATGGGTGTTAGTGGGGCCAGGACGGGTTGGGAGCGGCTTCGAGGCAGAGCTCGAATGTTGGGAGTAGGAGAAGAGGGAGAGAGAAAGGAGGCTGGCTCCTCCGCGGTAAAAGCACTTTTTCCCTCTTTCTTCTCTCCCTTCTTGCCTTTCTTTCTCTCTCGTATTGCATACGTATTCTGTTGTTCGGGAAAGTATTCCTCGCGAAAAATGCGACTAATCGGTGCGCTCCACGTGGTCGTAAATCCATCCCATTCCGTTGGAAACTCTTACCGCGCGATGCAAGCCACTTCGTTCTCGTTTACTCGTTGCACTGCCGCGCGCGATCCCGTCGCGATAATTCACTTCTACCGGGGGGAATCGAGATATCTGCCCGGTATATCTTCATTCGAGGTGTATATTCAATATCGGTGCACGTACGAAATAGAAAGCCGCGGCTGTAGAGGGCCCGCTATGTTGAAAAACGGCCAGCTTCAATACACACCGTTCGTTCCCCGTGGTGGCGGTGGCGTGTGCGTCTTGCGTTCGCGCATCCTCGAGTCTTTTCGAAAAACATACGGTACTCCTCGATGGGAAACGTCGTGTCACGCGATGCGATTCCATTGGTGTACAGATTCCCTTTCGAACACCAATCTATTCTATGCTCTCTCTCTCTCTCTCTATCCGATAACTCTATTTCTCTTTCTCGCCTACACCCTATATATAAACGCGATATAATACCCCATCTATATCCTCTTCAGTCGGGTGTATCCGTACGGCCATCATTTACGCGGAAATTCCTCTCGACTTTCACCACGAAACGCGGATAGACGTTTCTCTATACACGTATATAGAATAAAAGGGCGGTGGGACGCGATCCGCCGCTCGGCAGCTCGCCTGCTAGGTGGCAGCTTGAGGGGCGGGACGGGCGGACGTGACGGGTTTGCCTGGGGTCGCGGGGTGAGGAAAGGGAGTTGGGGGGAGGGCTGGCAGTCTGTGCTGCGGCCGGTCGATGCAGCAACGATGTCCGCAGCCGCAGCAGCAGGCAGCAGCAGCAGTAGCACCGAGCAACATCGCATTCGCGTAATACGACGCGACTCTGGATGCCGTTGGTGGCCGGCAGAGTGGGGAAGGGAGCAGGCCGGGACGCGTTAAATCGACATGGTGGGGGTTGACACGGTCAAGGTCAGTTTCGGTTCCAAGGTCACGGGGAGATGTCATCTCAGAAGGGAGCCGCGCGCGGTTTTCCTTCTCTCTCTCTCTCTCTCTCTCTCTCTCTCTCTCTCTCTCTTTTGCTTGACACGTTGCGTTTTCTCCCTCGTCCTTTCTCTTTCTCACACGTTTATCCAACGGCACGGTTTCCCCGATGCTTTTTCCCTCTCGATAGCGTTTTCTGTGCGACAATCGCGGTGTAATGGAGACTTCTTTCTTCGCTGTTTCTGGGATTTCTCGTTTTTCTCTTTCCTTTTTTCTTTTTCTTTCTTTGTCTCTTGCGTCCCTCGTTTTGGTCCCGTTTCACGTTCGTTTATTACTTACTCGTGTGGATAGGCGGATCGAAGAACACGCGAGGGTACTTTCGAGGTTTACCATATTGACTTTTTCTATTGGCTGCGGCGTTGTTTGCTTGTACACACAGAAAGAGAGCTTTGGCGTGAATTCTTTATCGGCTCGAAGGTGGTTGATGAAATTGTATTTCGTGGAAATTGCAGTGGTTCGGTTTTCGAGTTTCTTAAAGTGTCTCTCGTTCTCGTGTTCGACTTTTAATGTGTAACCGTGAAGTATGGAAGTATACATTACGTTTCAACGTTATAATTATCGAATAAAGATTTGCACGGTTAATTTTACAAATTACCAAGGCAAATGTCGATAAAGTAGGATGAAACGTGACGGGAGGTTTTTTTAAACGAAACGGGCAGAGCCTTCCTGCGTCGAGATCGATTTTATTCGTGAGAGCCGCGGCTTCAGCCGTAGTAGAGTTGGAGGTCGCGTTAAGTCCCATTCCCACGATTCGAGCGCCGTTAATTAAATAACGCTGATCAATCCGCGTCTGAACGGCCGGTCAATCAGTGTTTTATTTGCGAACCATGTAAATCCGTTTCCAGTTTGTTTGGCCGACGTTCCAATTTCGCTTCGAGTTTCTGTCAAACGCCGAAAATCCCTGCGTTATGCTTCGTTTACGCCGCTGTAACTCTGTTACAGAACATGTTCCAAACAACCAGAACTCGATCAATCCTAACGTAATAACGACATTTTAGACTCGCGAAATCTCGACATTTTTTTTTTTTTTTAATTTCGCGGGTTTCACAATTTCACGAAAATTCCAGCGACTCAAATTTATACCGAAATTTTGTTAGAAAAATTTTAGAAAGTTGGTATATTTTCACCAAAAATATCAAGCTAATCCTAGGAAAGTTTTGAAATGTGTAGAAATTTAATTTGGGGATTCCCAAGAGCCTGGAGATTTTTCCTGGAAATCCCCTAGGCAAAGAAAGGTCCGTGGACTCGACAAACATTTTTCGAACTCTGGAATAAAAGTACACACATACATTCTACCCTTACACTTTACATTAAATCCTCCCACAGAAACGTTACAAGTCAAGTATATCCATTTTGACTTCCATAAGTCTTCTGTCATCCATGGACAATTTATCCGGCTCCCATCCATCCCATCTCCCATTCATTTCACCCGCTCGATACATCTTCCGTACCATTTGCCGCACCAGAGTTGCCACGTCAAAATACCCCAGCGTTGCACACTCACTGTGCAACTTGTTGCAGCCGTACAAATGGATCTTAACGTGTGCAACCCATCATAACGTCGTACTCGTGTTCAAACTCGTTAAGGACAATTTACCATACGCGTTAGTTCTATTTTCGATTTTAAGGTTAGAATGGATATTTTTTCTATAATGCCGTTTAGTAGAGATTCGCGAATGGCTTTAAGGATCGATTGTTCGATGAAACGGAACACGTCTGGAAGAAGCTGACACACAAGTGGTGGTCGCCATAGAATTGCACCGTCAATCTGCCAGTCAGCAGACGAACGGCCTTTTCACCATCAATCATATTGCTCTGAATACCTTGCGAAGGTCGGTGAAGGAAGATCAGATAATCATTAACTTGCTATCCGCCATTGTGTTTTCGGCCGTGGTTTGAGAAAGATGTGTCGTTTATTTGAATTTTCGTAAAAGTAATCGGATATTTTTGGGTAAGATAGAATTAGTAAAATGGAGTAATAGTGGGGGGAGGGGGGGTAAGTTTGTTGGTAGAGTGAAAGTAGG